ATGCTTGGGTACTCGCGTATTTGCCTCATTTTTATGCCATATCGCGTAGAGTTTCGCGCGAGATTAAGTGTAATGCATCGATGTCTGGCACCGTTGGTGGTGTGTGGGCCAGTGAGGACATAGTGCCCGAGCGGCGCGCCCTACCGCGCCTCGTCCACACGCTCCACCCCGCCGCAGGTGCATCGAGAGACCTTCCACCGGAACCCGGCGCCGCTCTCTGCCGAGGAGACGCGCCTGGCGACGACGCCGCGGCCCGAGAGTGGGCCGCCGCCGCCCGGCCGCCGGCGCGCCGTCTCTCCGGCGGCGCCCCGGCCGCGGCGGCGCACCCGGCTCAACCAGCTGACGGTGGAGATTGTGCGGGGCCGGGGCCGGGGCCGGGGGCGGGGCCGGCGGCCGGCCTCGCCGTCGGACCAGTCCAGCGGCGGCCCGACGGACGGCAGCGACGAGGAGTGGAGGCCCGACTAGCTGCAGACCGGTCCGGCCGGTGGGCCATCACGGCTGTCACGGCTGTGATGCCTGTGACGGCCGTGGTGGCTGTGACGGCTGTGTGCTGTGCTGTGTGCTGTGGAGTCCGCGTCAATACAGATTGGAGCTATCTTATCACGGCGATGTTCAGGTGGCTGACATTTGAACGCGTGTTCGGTTAGCCGACGGCAGGCGACCGCACGCCATACCGTTATCAGCGCGCACGACCTACAGTCGGCGTTTGGCTGACTGGAGGTCCGACATACAACGAGGCGGTGGCCGCTGACGCTTGCGTGACAGGCGCAGCAGCACCCGCGCAATGCGCTGAAGGAGCGCTGGTGGCGCATCTGCCCGCTTCCCGGCCTCCTCCCTGCTGCGACACATTCCTGTCAGCCGAACGGAGGGGAGAGAGCGAGAACGTGGGAGGAAACTCCACAACTCCACGCGCGGCCTCTCAGCTGAACCTCGCGGGGGCCTGCACGTGGCGCTGCGCGTACTCCGGCTCTGCCCGGGGATGGTCTGGACCGGCGGATAGGGGCTCCGGACAGGAGCTTAGGCGGAAACTTGGCTTTCGGCGTGACGTTTATTTAGGGGGGGGGGGAGGGGGAAGTGACAGTGACACGGAGGCCTGTACTCACGTGCTACCTAGGGCGCGCCCCATCTGACGTATATCCCGCAATTGACGGCGGGGGCTCATGCACGCATAAAAAATGCTTCCACAGTGAAAGTGACGAGAGGGCTGTTGCAAACGCTGAGAACACATATGGGCGTTTACTTCGGGTCTTGTGCTCACGGGACACCTATCATCCAATGTGCCCAGCGTGAGTTTTCTACCGACATTCAAGGGCGGGGTTACGCCTACGAACCGTAGCGATTTTTCTAACATCCCAAAACAATGTTTGGAGCGGTGCGGTGACAGCTCCACGACTGTTAGATGCTGGGGTTATAACGAGCTCTACAACTGTGAACAGAATCTAGCCACCAGCATCTAAGTCATCCAGACGTCGGTGATGGTTGTCTTTACGATTCTGCACTTGTCAGGATACACGCGTGCTGGCTTCTCGGCGTGCTTCCTGAAAGGGCATACCGCTCCGTGACAGCTCACCGCACACCACGGTGGCCGACCCCGGCCATCAATAGCATAGACAGCGCTATGTTTCGGCCTACTTTTGTGACACTCCGCTCCCTGAACCTGGCGTAAAACACCGAATGCTGGACATCGTCTCTGAAGATGACGAAATAGCTATGGGAGGTGCCTGGACTCCGGGCTTTCCACTTCCATCGCGCAGGACAGAGAGTGGCAAAGATACGTGATGCCATGCATCTCCCTGCCTCCAACATGAAGAGCATGCATCGGTCCGGTTCTCGTGACACCTCCACGTGCTCTCCTTCATCACTCCTGCAGCCGCCCCAGACACCACCTTTGTGCCTGAGGCTGCTCCAGACGCTACCTCACTGTGCCTGCAGCTGCTCCAGACGCTACCTCACCGTGCCTGCAGCTGCTCCAAACTTTACCTCACTGTGCCTGCAGCTGCTCCAGATGCTACCTAACTGTGGCTGCAGCTGCTCCAGACGCTACCTCACCGTGCCTTCAGCTGCTCCAGACGCTACCTCACAATGATCACGATGATCACAATGATCCCTGACATACATTGAACGATAAAAATAATGTTTTCGTTTCGGAACTATCATTCGCACTAAAGTGTCACTTACTGGCCGTGCCAAAGGTCAAGCTGGTTAAGGCGTACGCCTTAGTGCGTGAGTGGCCAGCGCAACGGACTTAAGTCGGTGAGCAAGTTGATTGGATTAAAATCTAAAACGTCGCATGAAAGCAAAAAGGCAAAAACAGGTTCGGTCAGCGACCACATCTTAACCATAAATGGCACGTTGCAAACTCCCTCCCACCCCTGCATTATCTCACGGCATATTGGGGTTATATCAATGCGGGAGAAAGAGCTCTTGCCGGGTTAATGCGTCCAAAAAATCCCTCCCCATCGCTCTGCTATCACTTTTTCACTCTTTTTGATGTTACAAACTGCATCGCCAAGGTGGATAATTTCTTGCTTCGTATCACAGCTGTGGTCCATGTCTTTAACTGCAAGTGTCTGAAACAAATTCCATCGTTTTCCATAGTGCTCAAAAAGCATATTTGTAGTATATACAATCTTCGTATGGAAAACTTGTACTTCCAATTCAGATCTACCCACCAGAAATCTGACACTGGAAAACCTATTTCATGTTCTGGGATACATGGATGGCGGACCAGTGCCTCGTAACAAGCCGTGCTTGGTGAGGCTGCTTGATCATTTCGCATTTCGGACGGTGCAACTATTTCGTCGTGTGACGACTTTGTGTAGTGTTAAGCAGCAATTCTGATTCCAGCGTCGCTCATGAACCAAAACGGCGACTTTTTAAAGCGGCATTTAGGTAGCGTCCATACCATATGTACCTTGGACCTAATGGCTACATATAATAAACTCGTAAAAAATAGAGCAAGACATGAAATACTTGTTTCATTCACCCGCATTTTGTCATTATAATATTTTCCTCAAAATTGAGCTACAGCGCCAGTACCTCATTGAAGCGGCGGTGAGCCGCTCACTGGAGGGTCACTGTTTCACTGGAGGGTCACTGTTTCACTGGAGGGTCACTGTTTTACTGGGACTGTCGCACGTCCGGCACTAGAGCGACTGCAATGCCGCTCTAGTGCCGCTCTATTGAAGGTCACTGTTTCACTGGAGGGTCACTGTTTCACTGGAGGGTCACTGTTTCACTGGGACTGTCACACGTCCGGCACTAGAGCGGCTGCAATGACGCTCTATTGAAGGTCACTGTTTCACTGGAGGGTCACTGTTTCACTGGGACTCCCACACGTCCGGCACTAGAGCGGTGGAATGTCCGACACAGCAGAGACCGCGCATGTCACCAGGAGCGGCCGTCGGGCACAGGAGAGGCCGCATATTCGGCACTGGTGCGGCCGCGTGCCGGAACATGAGACGACTCACGCCCGACACAGGAGCAGCCGTCCAGTACTAGGGCGGCCATGCTCCCGGCACAGGAGGGGCCGTTTGTCCGACATAGGAGAGGCCGCGCATGTCACCAGGAGCGGCCGTCGGGCACAGGAGAGGCCGCATATTCGGCACTGGTGCAGCCACGTGCCGGAACATGAGACGACTCACGCCCGACACAGGAGCAGCCGTCCAGTACTAGGGCGGCCATGCTCCCGCCACAGGAGAGGCCGTGTGTCTAACACAGGAACGGCCGTCCAGCACTGGAGGGGTACACATTCGGCACGCATTGGGTACAGGACAGGCAGCATATCTGGCACAGGAAAGGCCGTATGTCTGGCACAGGAGAGGCAGCATGTCTGGCACAGGAAAAGCCGTATGTCTAGCACAGGAGAGGCAGCATATCTGGCACATGAAAGGCCGTATGTCTGGCACAGGAGAGGCCCTATGTCTGGCACAGGAGAGGCCATTCGCCGGCAAAGGACAGAACACGCACGTTCTCGAAGCGGCCTACGTCAGCAGGTGCTTACATACAAGATAACTGGTCGATATTCTTTTGACAGCGCCTCTAAGAAAACAAAGACACGATTTTCTCCCCAGCATCAGTGACTGACAAAATCGCTGCAGGTGTTCGCTGCCGTTGTGCGGGCCAGAGGTGCAGATCATGGTCTCCTGGTATAAAAGACGGCGGGTCTCTCACAGCAGCATTCGGCCACCGCGATGAAGACATTCGCACTGATTCTGGTTGTCTGCTCCTCGGCCTGGTCGGCCCCGGGGCCAGTGCGTCAGGACGACTGGAAACCACCTCCATCCGATAAGGGCGACTGGAAACCGCCTCCCTCCGATAAGGGCGACTGGAAACCGCCTCCCTCCGACCGCGACGACTCGCTTCCTTCCATCCAGCCACGCGCAACAAACCTTGACTGTGGAACTCACGTGCTGACAGAAGGCGAGTACACAATCGAGTCTCCCAATCATCCATCAAACTACCCAAATTACGTCGATTGCGACTATGTTTTGTCCAGTGACAGCGATATCACCTTGGCCTGCAGCAGCTTTAATTTGGAGCAGCACAGCTCGTGCGCGTGGGACTGGCTGGAGGTGAACGGCGAGAAGTTTTGCGGTACCTCGGGACCTACGGCATCCACAGCCCAGGCCTTCGACATCTCCTTCCACAGCGACTACAGCGTAGTAAGACCGGGCTTCCAGTGCACGCTGACGGTCGCCGGCGGCGGCGGCGGCGGCGGTGGCGGCGGCGGCGGTGGTTCAGAGCTTACGTGTGGTGGCAGCTCCTTGGTACGCGACATCACTTACACCATCAAGTCCACCAACCATCCGAACAATTACCCTATCAACGAGGACTGTAACTACCAGCTGACAGCGGAGAACGCAGGTGACACCATCTCCATGTCTTGCTCCGCGTTTAACGTGGAACGGCACTCGTCTTGCTCCTGGGACTGGCTGTCCGTGAACGGTCAGAAGTTCTGTGGTACATCAGGCCCCAGCGCCGTAACCTCGGTGTCTACGATGGCCGTCGACTGGCACTCGGACTACTCGGAGGTCAGCAGCGGCTTCCTCTGCCAACTGGAGGCGACGGAATCACAGGCTACCACTACGGCTGCTCCTTCAGGTTCCTGCTCTTGCGGCGTTCCGAACCGCTCCTCCCGCATCGTCGGCGGCGTGGAGACCGAGGTGCGTGAGTATCCTTGGCAGGCTGGCCTGGTCAGCGCCGGCGGCACCCGCACCTGGTGCGGCGGCAGTGTCCTCAACAACCGCTACGTGATGTCGGCGGCCCACTGTACGGTCGGATCGTCACCCAGCCAGATCGAGGTGCTTCTCAAGGAGCATCGCATCAGCAACAGCGACGGTGAGATTCGCGCCAGTGTGCAGCAGATCATCAACCACCCGAGCTACACGTCCGTATCCGGCTCCGGTTACGACTTCTCGCTGCTGAAGTTGACCAACCCCATCACTTTCCCAAGTGACAACTCGCTGGCGCCAGTGTGCCTACCCACCGCCGGTAACGACTTTGTCGGTGCCGACGCAATCGTCACCGGCTGGGGTACCACCAGCTCGGGTGGCTCACAGGCCACCACTCTGAGGGAGGTCACCGTGCCCGTCATCTCCAACACCGCCTGCAGGTCGTCATACAGCAGCATCAACCCGTCCATGATCTGTGCCGGTCTCAGTGAGGGCGGCAAGGACTCGTGCCAGGGCGACAGCGGCGGCCCGCTGGTCAGCCTCGAGTCCGACCGCTACTCCCTCATCGGCGTCGTCTCGTGGGGTCGGGGCTGTGCTCTACCCGGCTACCCGGGCGTCTACGCCCGAGTCACCGAGGTGCTGTCCTGGATCCAGACCAACACCGCTGACGGCACCTACTGCTCTTAGAAGAACCGTCAGCTTGGTGTTTGCGCACAGCGTTTGTTTCAGCGCGACTTTCGGGCGCATTGGCTTGCGTCGCAAGTAAAGTCGCCATTCTTGCAGTGTCGGTTTGGTGCATGATGTACTGCATTTGGGACGACGTTAAATAAATGCCCAGCTCCTGAAGCATGTGTTTACACGTGTATCCATGGAAAAACATAGCCAAGGACATCACAACAGCCCACTTGACATCGAGCCGTTGGATGCTACCAGTTGTTTGCCCAATGGAAGTGAGGATTCGCTGTAATTTAGTATTTACATCCTGCGGTGAGTGGATTTCGATTACAATGCCGGTTTGAGGTGTGGATAAATAGATGGTGTACAAGAGACTAAAAAAATCGAGTGTCCAAAATATTTGGACCTTTGTATGAAAATCGTCGGACGTTAACATCCGACATATCTTATCTTTCAACTTCTGTTGTTGATTTGTGGTGGGCTTTTCAGCGGCTCATTTTGAACTCGACCAAAAAAGAATCACTGAGGAAACCATTGGTGGCAGTTTATCAATAGCTATTGAAGCTTCAGTTTTGGAGGAGGTTTAGTGTAACTACATAGCACGGTGGACGACGTCTACGCCCTTGTAATGACGCCAACTGCGCTTTGGCTTATTTCCATGTTGTGTCGAAAATTAATTACGGTCGAATTCATGTTCTCATTCGAAAACAACACGAACAAATAATCTCTCGTCGGAAGAACTGAGGTGTTTGGTTGATACTTTTCCGAACATGCAACAACGTCGAAGTACAATTATTATATGATCCGCAACTGCAACTCCTCTGCAACTCATTTTTAGGCACCCACTAGCCATCCTAGGGATACCTGATATTTTCCTTGTTTATTCATGTCCGCAAAATTATTTAAAATGATCGGGCTGGCTTGTTCTTGAGGACGACACCACCACCCCAAGGCTGAAGAGACTCATCAATGCAGGTACTTGCAATCCTGACTTTCAGGGTTCAGATATTTCTGTTCGAGTAAACAGATCAGTCAGGAAATTAAAGAAAGAAGTAACGATACGTGCGACTCTCACAGCATTCACTCATTGCGCTTACATCTGTGAAAACAAAGCAAACATCATGACATAACGGTACAATTAAAATTACCTGCGCTCTGAAACCCATGCAATAGATTCGTCACCTCAATCTTAATCTATTGGGATCTTGCAAAACTGAATCTTCAGTACGAGGGTCTCGAATTGCCAATCTCCTACCTGCTCGAGCTGCACGGTTTGGCAGGTAGGAATACCGGCAGGCTACGCGCAGATACCGGGCACGCATTGTTTGGAACCCGAGCGGGTCTGAACATGCAAGCTAATAGCAGCCTACCGGTCACGCATGTTCATCTGCGTTTTGAGCGTGTATCCCCACCGATGTGGCAAGGGCCTGCCAAACATCCAGCGTGCATGAGCGGCGCTCACCGTGCAGACAGCCGCTCATCTGATGCAGCAGACCGCGACCGAAGGCCAGCCGCGCTCTGAGAGGGCCGACGGCCGAGCGGAGCGCCGCCGCCTGCAGTCGGCCCCACGCGCCGGCGCCCGCTGCCGTCAGGTCCGACGCCGCCCGCGCTGGCCGGCACACAGAGCGGGTTACGGAGGGGTGCAGTGTGTTCGTTGTCCGGCACACAGAGCGGGTTACGGACGGGATGCAGTGTGTTCGTTGTCCGGTACATAGCGTGGGTTACGGACGGGTGCAATGCATTCGTTGTCCGGCAAACAGACCGGGTTACGGACGGGTGCAGTGTGTTCGTTGTCTGCTACATAGAATGGGTTGTGGATGGGTGCAGTGTATTCGTTGTCCAGCACATAGAACGGGTTACGGGCGGGTGAAGTGTGTTCGCTGTCTGGCACACATAACGGGTTACGCACGGGATGCAGTGTGTTCGTTGTCCGGTACACAGCGTGGGTTATGGACGGGTGCAGTGTTTTCGGATAGCTTGGTACAGACATCTCCATAATCACTGCATTTCAAGGTTACGTGGGTGTTGCCATCATGCCCATAATTTTCGCAAGACGTAACCAACAAAACGAATGCTTCATTCTGCTGACGTCATGTAAGTGCTGTTACCGTAAAAAGTCGACCATATGCCATGGTGAAACCATATGCCACCGAAACTGCGAGACGAGGACAGAAAATAAGGAAATTTACGACCAAAAATGCAAGAAATCCTTGATCTGGGGCGTAATGAAGGCTCGTTCGTCTAGGATATCTAAGGTGCTATTTTCGGTTTGGGCTTTGCGATGTTTGCAACTAGAGCCGGCACGGTGCATGACTTCGAGGCTGGGTGAGACATCGAATCGTTTTGTGGTGACTTTAGTTCAGACGTTGATCCGGTCCCCAATAACACGACAACCCCAATACTAAAAGGAACACGGGAGGCGTGCTGGTGGCCGTTTCTCTCCCAAATGCAAATTTCGGCCCAGTAGTACTTTTTACGAATTTCCGCCACTGCTCCAGAGCGAGAGCTTCGAGTTCAGGGTGCCAGCGTCATTAGAACCAAACATCATTAAAACCAGGAGTGTCAGAACCTCTCCAAAGGAAGGAAACCGATACCCATTTTAGAACCTCTTTAAAATCAACACAAATATGGCCAGTGCTAAAATTTTAGAATGTTTTGGGCTCAGCGTCTGCCCCCCCCCCCCCGGCCCCGCGCCTCTGGTGAAAGAAAAGCACTTTGCCCTCCAATTGCTCATGACAACTTTTGCATGAGCACGATGTCCTTTCATGGTAAAAGATGGCTTAACACGCGTCCGGGTGGCCGGCTAGATACACTTCGTTAGGGTGGGGAGGGGGGGGGGGCAATTTGACACCACCCGCTGAAATCTCGGGAACTCAGAAAGCTAGACACACCAAGTTTACAGGGTATCATGAACTGTACGTGAACTCACTTATGTCAAAGTTTGAGTTGCGCCTCCAGGCTGGTCTCTTAAGTGCCCCTAGATCCTAGGCAACTGTATCCAAGCAAAAGGTCACAAACCCATTTGAGGTTAGTGACCTTGTTTGATCTTTTGAGGGTCATGGTGACCAAAATCATACAAGACTGCTTTGAGTTTTGCATTTGAATATGTGACAAAGATTACACTAGGCAGTATGCTCCTATAACAAAATGTTGACCCGGGTCATCTTAGGTCAATGACCTGTTCTGACCACTAAGAAGGCCATGGAAGATGTATAATGCGGTTTCTGTTGTCAACAAATTCGAAATGAGCACCACAAGCTATCCCATACAGCAAGCCCTAACGCAATAAATCGGATTTGTTTGACCTTGGTCTTTACCTTCATACCTGACCTTAGGTCAACGTAATTTGCTCATTCAATATTTTTGGTGACCAAGAAAGCATCTCTGAGATGCATAGCTTCGTCATACTATCCGTTTGAACAAACACAGATTTGACGATTCCCTAAAAATTATGTTCGCTGAAACCATGGCTTGAGTTTGGCCTGCCATAGGTCAATGACCTGACAAGGTACATCTGAATTTTTATGTCAAGCAATCCACTATTCAATTGTGTACAGCTACGCAAAATTTGGCGTGGCTTCGCCGCGCCGTTCGGAAACCATTCTGGAAAAACCTTCGTGGGGGGTCTATTTGACACCCCACGTGAGCGCGTGTTAAAACGGTTCTTTGCCCGATTCCGAAATTGTCCGCCCTCTTGCATCCAAGCGTTTTCACTTGGAAAGGAGATGCGTCATGGAACTTTGGCAAAAGAAGGATATGCTGTCGGCCCAAGACATTTACAAATTACAAAATAGTTTTACCAAGGTAAAGGTTCTATTTCATGGAGACAAGGTTACGTTCATTTACCTGTTAGTGCGTTCGTGAATAGGCAAACGTTGCATTTAAATACAAACAGTATACCCCTACGCTCGCTTCCTGACTTCACCTTTCATTGTACACATTTCCTTTGAAAATTACATATCCCATATGACATTGGGATTTTCTCATCCCGATAGAAAGGGCGGGCACCGCGGGTAATCGAACCCCGCAACTCTGCAAGTCTCCAGATACCCAGCTCAACCACTATACTTCTGATACTCTGCTAGCAAACATAACCATACAAAGTAACGGAAAAGCAGATAATATGATAAAGCAATAAAGAATGTGTTCGACACAGAAAGCATGCGTGCCACAAAGCGACCGGACACTCCGCAATCACCGCCGTTAAAAATAACAAGAGCAACATGGCGGCGTTTCCCCACGTAAACCGAAGGTTCTTTAGTAATGAGCAATATGCAGAAAATGTGCTGGTAGCAGAATGCAAACACACCATCGCTCACACCCGGCCTCCAGCATGGCTCTGTGCGCTTTCACTAGCGTCGTCATTTAAATCCCACGCAACGTCACGATTCAGGCGCCCAACGCCGGATGTTGTATGTGCTGACAGGAAGATCTTGTTTGAGTTGGCGTCTATTCAGGAGGCGACAGGTGCGACAACGGCTTTTCCGGTGCGACACTTGTGACAGCAGCTGTGATGTGACAGTGATGCAGCTGCAGGCGGGCCTGAGTCGCACCGGACGTACTGAAGAGCGGATAATGTGCGTTGGTGGTGTGATTCGCCCGTGGCTGCGTGTCCGCCGACGTCATAGCTCGTAAGCGCCGGAGGGGCTTGCTCTGGGGCGTGCGGGCCGGCCCGCCCCGGACCGCTCCGTCACGGCGGTGCACCCCGCCTCCACCCGCGCTCCATGCTGGCCCGGCTCGCCCCAGCCGCCAGGGACGAGGTGTGAGAAGTGTGTGGACAACGGTTCGCGCTGCGTGCCTACCTCGAGCGGTACATGAAGTCGCACGGCCAGCAGCGCGTCTACTGCGGCGTCTGCCCCCGCCGCTCCATCAACCTCAAGAACTTGATGGTGGGTGGCCGCGCTGTTCCGGTCGCATCGTCGTTCGCGTAAATAACTTGTTCGGGAAAGCATGCTTTGAAGTCATTAGTTACGGGTCATTGCACGTTCCGTAGTCAAGACGAACCTGCGTCGGTCGTTTCGTTTCTAACACAGGGTTAACTACCGCTACCTAAAATCACACTTCCTTGTGCATTTTGTTACTCTGCATCGCATTTTTTCAGCGTTATATTTGCCTCATTTTTATGCTTGGGTACTCGCGTATTTGCCTCATTTTTATCCATAT